CAGAATTAACAGCAACACATCAGCTAACCAGTGAGGAAAAGGCACATCTTTATCATCATCTTTATTTATTTTATCTTTATTTATCTGTTGTTGTTTTTGTTTTACTTGCTTGTAAGCGCTTAAAGCACCAGGAAAAGCGCTTTATAAATGTAATGTATTATTATTATTATTATTGATATGATCATTATAGTTATAAAAAAATAAGAGAATAAAGTAAACAGGTATAAAATACTACTGTATATGGCGGTAAAAAAACTTGTTATTAATAAACAAGAATACAGTTTGAAAGGGGATTGATTTGTAAAATATCCATAAAGAAAAAGAAAATCTGCTTACAGTTCTGTTTCATATGGATGTTGAGAGATGTATCCATAGATCTCTTAATGTTGCTCTCAAAGTGCACCAGATTGATGCTTTTAACTTCAATATTTAAAAACAAATCTTCCCGGGGAGCATGCCCCCTTAAGGGTGTGAGGTACCCCCCTACTTAAATCTTGTCCACATGGATATGAAACTAAATACATTTTCACACATCTTGTGTCCATATCTTTCTGTTGTGGTGCTCATGCCACACCGTGCACGTGCATGCATGCGCGAGTCATGGTAAGATATCTGGATTAAGAGGTTGCTTTTTCTTTGCACAGCATGAAAGAAAGGCCAAATGAATGGGCTGTTTTTGTTTTGTTTTTTTAAGCAGAGGTCAATCATTTGTACGGCCCTCGGAGGATGTTGAAAAAATTGAAATGGCCCTTGAGAGGAAAAAGGTTCCCCACCCCTGACATAAAGGAACATACAGACAATTCCGTTACAAATAAACACCCCCTAAAAACCAAATTCTTAAGAAATGAAATGTCCTTTGATGCTGAGCAAGTTTTAGAGCCCTTAATCGCAGACTTAACGGTTCAAAATGAGATCAGCCGTGAGCTTTGTGGCCAACGAAACCAGATCCTGGAGGGCAGATGGGCTGTGTCTGCTTTTATAGTGAGTAATGCCATTAATTCCAGCAGTAATGACCAGAACGATGATTGAGAACTGTGCTGCACTGCTGCAAGTCAATACTCAGTGCATTAGGAGGCATGGTGCTGATTACCCATTAAACTCTTGGCGATTGTACCTGAAATGTAACCTTACCCCTGACCTCAACCTTAAATCAGTTCCTAAATGAAATTATAAATAGATTCTGGATTAAATCCTAATTTGTCCTAATTTCTATTATCCCAGTTCCTGTAGTTATGATCCTACCACAGGCGTATAGAAATCAGTCAGTCTTTTTCTCTGATTTAGCAGACGAGCAACCTTTGGCCTGAAGTTAAACTTGTCAGAAAACTGGACAAATATTGTCTCAGGCTTTCCTGTGAAAGAAGAAGAGGCATGGAAGCCAAACACAAGAAGGGGGGATAATAATTCAATAGCCATTTCTGAAAGGGAACACAAACTCATAGCCTCCTTCTGTGCCTGAAGCAACACTGAAGCACATCTGCTGCTGGAGATATCAAGACAGGAACACGTTCTATACTCAAACACAAACAAACTGAGCCCAATGCTGTCATTCATTATTGTTCATTTTATTCCTTTGATAGCTGCAGTTATAGATTGTAAACACACAGCACGTTTCACATAACCCTTCTAAAGTTTTATATCACAGCTGGTTTGCTAGATTTTTTTTAAAACCCAAGTGCTGCATTAATTCCCCTTTACAGCTGTTAATTGATTGCTGTTTTATGTAATTGTCCTTCGCAGCTTAAGAAGCTTGTGTATGTGTACCTGGTGAGGTATGCAGAGGAGCAGCAGGACCTGGCTCTGCTCTCCATCAGCACCTTCCAGCGGGCCCTCAAGGTAACATTTTCTACCCCTCGACTTTCTATATTTATTATTCCCAACACTGTGAAAAGCTGTTATATTTGAGTGTAGATACAGGCTTGGAAAAACTGATATTATTTATCTTTTAGAAAAAATGTATGTTATCTAGTGTGTGTTTCTCTTGTATATTGACTGCATATTTTCTTGCCTTTGTACCCTAATAGCTGCAATGTTAAACATATTGTTTTGTTAGATTTGACATTAGAGGTGCAACTAACGAGTATCTTCCTTTTAGATCAATCTGCAGATTATTTCCTCAGTTAATGGTTAGGTCTATAAAATGTCAGAAACTAGTTAAAAATGTCAAACTCAGTTCCTCAAAGTCCAATATGATGCCTTTTTAAATGTCTTGTTTTGTCGGTCTGAAAACCCAAAAGAATCGGTTTAATATGATATAAAACAAAACAAATCTCCACATTTGAGAGACTGTAAGCAATTATCTGCCAATTTTGGATGAAAAATTGATTTAAATAAATATCATTTTGTAATAGTTGGTGATAATTTGTCTATGTAATCAAACGATTAGCGATGCTCTATCTGCCATTAGTGTTGTTTCTTCATTATCTCCACCAGCTTACCAACATTTATTAGTAGGCCAAACTGACAGATTTCTTTCTTTTTCTGTATCTCTTTGCCAGGACCCAAACCAGTTCATCCGGGGCAGTGCGCTGAGAGTTCTGTCCAGTATCCGGGTCCCCATTATTGTCCCCATCATGATGCTGGCCATCAAAGAGGCGTCAGCTGACCTGTCCCCGTACGTCAGGAAGACATCGGCCCACGCTATCCAGAAACTCTACAGGTACACTTCTGTGCTTCTGATGTGTTTGTAAATATTAAGGCTGCAACTTAAGCTGCAGGTGGAGCCAGTATCTGCTCCTTACCTTGACTGGCTCTCCTTACCTCTACTTTCTGAGCAGTTCATACAGAAACGTTGGGTAATGTTGATATAAGGAGGTTTTTCTTGCAGTTATCTACGTACTCTTATCAGCTGAGTCTTTCTGAGATTGGCATGAATCAAAGAATGAATGAGGACTTGACATTTGAGCAAAGAAGTCAAACTGAACCCCATAGCCCCGGCCCGTGGAAACTCAGCTAACTGACGATATGAACCATTTTTACCGAAACAAAACACAACTCTAACGCCAACTAATGCCAAGCGCTTTTTTAACTATTTTTGTATTTACTATTTACTTGCACTATATTTCTGTTTATCTGTTTTATTGTGTTGCACTGTTGGAGGAGCCTGTGACCTAAGATTTTCATCGTCATAACTACTCTGTAGCTATGTTCGTATGACAAAATAAAAACCTTGAACCTTGAAGCGTCTGAATTAGCACTAAGCGAAAGAGTGCTAACGCACTTAGCACATAACTCACGGTAGAAATATGTTATACTTATATCGGATCCGCACAAACAATATATCATATGAAAGCTGAGCTTCCACAGATTCCAATGGTATAAGTATCATCACTGTGCGACCAGAACTCACGGCAGCGAAGGCCAGCAAAGACAAAACACAACTTCACTTTACGGGGCCAAAACAGCAAATACGTCTTACCTTTGCTGTTTTCTGATCAAAAGTTGTGTTCAAGGGCATTAAAACGCATATAAACGCTTCTGAAGGTTAATCCAATGTCTCTGTGTCCCTTAGAAATGATTACTGATAATCCATCATAACATTTATGTCAATTAAGAGTAGTTTTCAAAACCTTTCATATATACCGTAATTTTCGGACTATAAGCCGCGCCTTTTTCCCCATTTTTCGACGCTGCGGTTTATATAACGGTGCGGCTAATCTATGGATTTGTACAGCTAACGGCCACCACCTTTAACTCTATGGGCTCTATGGCCGGTCCGCGGACCCCCACCTTTAAGCGGCGGGTTCCAGCAGGAAAAGCTGGAGGCCGGAAAAGAGTGAGACAGGTAGCGCGCAAAAGTAAAAGTGGAACCGAGAGTGGTACGAGAGACAGAACGAGAGCAAGACAGACAGACATTACGAGAGCGAGACAGTTTGTCCCCGTACCACTGGTTGAAAACCGCTGCTGTAGATCACTGCCGGTAGGTGCGCTGGGAGCGCACCGTTTAAGTTTGAAAGTTGAACAGTTTGTGTGTCTGAAATGCTATGTGATACAGTACAGTTTACACAGCACAGTACATGTTCTGTAGCTACTATTGCACTAAATGCTAACACTTGAATACGTTATGCAAATATGCAACTTGTTTGTTGAAATGTTAATAAATGGGAGCTTCCTCAAACAGCCATCTCTTTCCCGACAATCCCCTCTGTGCACGAACCCTTACATATGGTAATGAAACATTAAAACACCTGCGGTTTATAGTCCAGTGCGGCTTATATATGTACACATCATTCAATTTAGCTGCTGCGGCTTATATTCAGGTGCGCCTTATAGTCCGAAAATTACGGTAGCTGCTATGAGAGCTACGA